AAGTTTGGCAACTCTTGATGGTTGGCTGCTTGTGTCCGAAAGTTTAACGACATACAATAATACACTGCTTTATTTCCTTTTTGTAAAAGTCATCGAAATTTTTCCATATACTCAATCTAATCTAACGATTCCCAAAATGCCAACATTTTGCCTTTGAGCATAGTTCGTTTCCTTCACTCCGGTATAACTTGTTCGTCTTCTTCAACGACAACCTGAATGTAACATTAAAGGCAGCGTGGGGAATAGTGTTTCAAATCCAGGTATCAAGAAATGAACTTAATAATGTGCCACCTGAATGATACCAGAATGAACAGCAAACAACAAAGAAAGTGTGATGGCTCCCAAACCGAACAATATAGTGTCACGCAAAGGCAAATCGTCTTGCGTCTGGGCGGTCTCGGCTGAGGCGGCCTGTACTGATCGGAATGTATTACTCCTCAAAATGATGTTGAGATTCGAAGCGACATAACCTTTTCCGCTTCTTTGGCTTTTTCTGCTTTTTGTAATCGATTCTCCCACATCTTTCGTTCAGATTTCTGTTTTCGCAGCTGCTCCTCAGATGGAGGGAGATAAATCGAAGCCACTTGTTCAACAAAACGTACCTAAAGTAGGATCGCAGTCAACGTCATCTGAGGAAGAACAAGGCAAAAGAAAGTTAGCATCACCAACCAGATTTGGACACGCTCTCAAATGAAGTTGCAGCCTATCATTTGGAAGAGGTAGGCGTAGAAGCGGTGCCAAATAACCGAACACGAGGGCATCCAAAGAACTTGGTCTGGAATCAAAAAAAAAAACGGAATTTGTTCGATAAGGCGGATATGGTTTGTTAGCTCACTTGTTCCCGCAAAAGAACTTGTTGTCACCAAGTTTTGCCGAAAGCATGTTGAGAGCCTGAAAAATCAGCAGTGAAAATGCACGTGCGATGTATGACCGCGATACCACTGAACCGATCTTTACTAAAATAGACTATACTTTATTTTGAGAAGACGTTTGACAACCGTACCTAAGTATAAATAAGATTTTAACGAGAAATAATTATACATAGTACAATCATAAATA